TATACAATGCCGGAGCGGTACTGTCGGACCGCACTTTACACAGTGCCAGAGCCCTATTGCCGGACCACACTTACACAGTGCTGAAGCCTCTATTTTGGTGGGATAGAGGAGAAAGATGCATGGGTAGGGTAAAAGTAAGGGAGGGTAGTTTAGGGCTTTTTTTTGATTTATTTTTTAGTTGGAGGGTATTTGCATAGACAAAGTATTTTGAGAGAAAAAAAAAAGGGAGAAAAAAAGTTAGGTGGGAGGTAAGTTGCATAGAAAATGTTTTCTTGAGTTTTTTTTTTTTTGGTAATTTTCCTTTAAAAGAACTTTAGCTCATAGAGATCCGAAGTCATTATAGCAAAACTTAGCTTCAAACATGTAGGTATGAAGTCAAGGCTCGTCCAAATGATTTTGGACCTAGAAGATCAAAACTACCTAGATAAACTTCACTTGAGGACTACAAAAGTCCAGAGTGTGAACAGTAAAAAAAAACTGGATTTGGGACCTTGAAGGTATAGAGACACAATAAAAGAATTATTTAGAACATCGGAAATTGTTCCCTTGGGTGGTCTTAAGTAAGGGATCTTAAAAAAGAATTAAAAAAAAAAAATCAAAAAACTAAAATATTTGTAATTCATTTTGGCAAATATTGGTAAGTGTTTTGGTCAAGACCAATTAGTTTTACATTTTCTCTTCTTTTTAAGTATTGGACAAAGCTGAGAAATCCTGAAATTCTGGGTCCGAGAGTGGTCTTCTGAGGGTGGGGCACCACACCCTGCTATTGCCCATCAGCTGAAATTGGGATTCCACAATTGCATTTATGTCACAAGCCAGCAAGAAAAGTCTAGGGTAAAGTTCTTTAAAGGGTGCATTCTCCAGCCAAGTATCAATCTAGAAGAGAGTTTTGTTGCCCTGCCTAGTTTTGTTGCCCTGCCTAGACCTGTACCTGATCTTGGACAGAAAGTGTGGGTAAGAACGCAGTAAAGATTTTCATATCGTCGAGGAGTTGTCATGGGCTCATCGGGAGGGGACCCAAGAAGGGTCGGAACTGCGGTATTTTAAATTGATCACCTCTTGCCACAGGTGGCTGCTTTGGGTAGCTAAGCGCTACCACCATTTCCCGAGTAATGTAAGGTTATTCTCTTTGATGGTTCTAATGCCCAGCCCCCCTAGAGATTTAGGTTTGCATACATTCTATCAAGATATTAGATGGATCTTCCTATTCCCATTGCTGGACCACAAAAAGTTTTTCATTAGCTGCTCCAAACGGTCGGCCACCGAGGCTAGCAGATGGAATAGCTACATCTGAAAAATTGGGGTGCTCAAGAGGGTGGCTTTTATCAAAGTAAGGCGGCCAGCAGGAGAAAGGAATCTGCCTTTCCACCCTCAAGAGGGGAGCTTTTATCAAAGTAAGGAGTCCCGTCCCCTGGTTTTGAGCATTGTTTCCAGGCTTGAAAACCATTAGCGAGAGGCAAGGCTAGTGCGGCATGGGACACGTTAGGATATGATGTTATCACTAAGTGTGTACATATGGGTTAGCTGACATTAGGAAAGATGGGGCAAATGCATGACTTGATAGTGGGACCATCAAAGCTTTTATGTTACGGGTCAAATGTTCCATCCACGACTAGGGCCATCTCATGGGACATGAAATACATACGGCGTGAAAGGGGTGAATGATTATATGCTGATATTGGGCAAATGTGTTGGCTACGGACTCAAATCGTGTAATTACCCCAGACATGAGAATGTGTGTAATGGTCATAACCGTGCAAGGATGAGACACATGTAGTGGTTCTGCGTAGGTATTGATGGTTGTAATGCCCATGTGTGTTTGAATCGCAAAGCATGGCTAATCACGACTTGTTGAGTAGGTTCACCAAATTATGCATGCATACTTAGGGCTATCTAAATCCCTCACCTAAACTTTTGAGGGGCATTGGGGATGTGAACGAGCAACTATCTAGTTCAATAAGAGCGGAACTACGACCGCTTTTATATGTTGTATTCCTGTAGGCTTGTCTCGCTCCATTTCTCTTGTGCGTGCTCTTGTGGAAACTTAGTTTTACCTTGAAATGAGTTCCACTTTGGCTTTGCACTACATTAGGGCTGAAAATTTATCCGGTTTGGATTCGAAAAAATTTTGGATCTGTCTCTGGATCCAAGATATGGATCTGACGAGTTGGATCCGAATTCAAAATTTAAATTTGAAGAATAATTCATATTGGATTTGAGCATAGGTGGATCCGATCCGGATCCGACCTAGTTATTAAAATATTATATCTTATATATATATATATATATTATAATATTTTTATTATATATTATTTTATACAAAAAAATAATCTATAGAGTAATTTTTTTATCTAATTAGGTCCGGCTCAGGATCCAGACCCGATATATGGATCTAAATATTATGGATCTAATCGGGTCTACATCCGAATCCTAATTTCGATGGACCTGGACCTGATCCGACCCATTCTTAACTTTGTACTATACGGCCATGTGACAATTGATATGGGGGTGTGGTTCGAAGCTTGGTTGGTGGTGCCTCGAGGCAAAAATACAAGAATGTTTTACACACCTTGAGGATTAGTTGAAGCAAGTCATGACAGAGGTCTTCAAAATGGGAGCCTGGATTAAAGCTTCACTGCCTTGAGGTTCGGATCAAAACCTTGTAGACAAACTTGTACAAGAGTAATCGCGATGCTCATAATGGAGGGCTCACGGATGACCTCAAAACCTTAACAGAATCCTTTAAAGTCCATTATTTTGGCCCTCCAGGAGAGATTAAGATAATGGAAGTACAATATAAGAAAGCAAAATAACAATGACTAGCGTCTGGATGAGAACACCATCTGATCACGTTAGTTGAGTCGTCTTCAATAATAACTCTAGGGAAAGAATGGTTCAACTTAGCGATTCCCATTTTCAAAGCTCAAAGCTCAGCTTTATTAATTTTACAAGGTTGCAGCCTCCCAAAATAAGTCCAAATTGCGGACCCGTTGTAGTCTCGAAGAAGACCCCTATAGCTAGAGATATATCCCTTCACGCTACCGTCAAAATCCAGCTTCACCCATCCTTCAAAAGGTTTGATCCATACACAGTGAAAGTAGGTACGTATAGATCTGTATAGCATCAACTCCCTATAGTGAGTGAAGAATAATTCTTTGGGTCCTGCAGTAAGAGGGAGAAAGGTATAGGCCCAAGCCACAATGGAGCGTTGGACTGCTGAGAGGAAAGACGGAAAATCTCTGCTGCGCCCTTCAAAGGTTCTCAAGTTCTATTCCCTCAAAATGTTCCACAGTTTTACTCCCAAAAACGAGAAAGGAGGAGCTTATATCTGCTGCAGGCCCTCCAGGAGAGATAATCCTTGTCAAAATCCTTGTGCAACACAACAGATAGTCTGGATGCTCAAAGTGTGTGAGTTCTAAACCCTAGGGCGGCGTTCAAAGGCATGAGACTAGGCATGAGAAGTGTTAAAAAACTTCATAATGGTGATGTACTATGAGGCTGCCCGTACCCACGAGGGAGATTGCGTGGGCATATAGTCATGTACCTCACAGAAGATGCCAAACTTTAGTGGAGGATGTGGGAGGATACTTCAAGGCCTGCGATCTGCACTTAGGAGGCATTGAAAAAGGAGCTAAAGGATTAGTTCTTGCCAATCAATGCAACCTGGGTCACTCAAGAGGCATTATAAAAGCTTCAATATAAGGGCTCAGTGAAGGAATACATGAGATTTGCGTCTCTAGTCTGGAGGCATGACAGAGATGGGACTACTCATTGTCTTGTTTGTGTTGCAAGGTTGGTTCGAGGTTGAGTTGATGACGCATTGTATGCATGACTTGCCCACACAAGGTCGGTTCGAGGTTGAGTAGATGAGGCATCGTGTGCATGACTTGCTCACTGCTATGGTAACAGCTGAAGGTCCAGTAGACTACAACCCTCATGGCGAGGTGGAGTCATCCCACTAGGACAGGCATTCCATGTTCAATCGTGAGAGAATAATATAGCACCACCGTAGGGACGGACTTGAGAATAAGGCAACTAGAGAGAGGGAGGCACCTCCAGAGGCCTTCTTAGGCTGATTTATTTGCAATAGTGACCTCTGAGTGAAGGAGTGCCTACAGAAGGGGCCCCTCAATACTGTTTTGGGAGAGAGGAGGAAGGTTGATATGGTCATGCTTTTTGCAACAGTCAAATGCAGTGCGGCTGGTACAGACCTACATGCGGATTAGGGAAAAGCTTAGGATAAAAATTGCTGGGGCACCGCTGCTAGAGACTCAGAGCAAAATGCCTCCTACCTATAAGATGTGGTGGATTCATTATGAGGAGGCGGTTGGTCGTGAGGGTGGCCGTGTAGCCAAGGTTGCCCCTCTCCATGGTGGATTATGCATACTCATCCCATAAAGAGTGTAATGCAAGGGGACATCTATCCAATCCTAGTGGGGCAAAGAAGAAGAGATTTAACAATCGGCACAGAGTACCTCGAGTAGTACACAATTTGTAATAAGGCTGGAGTCAGGCCTTCCTCTTGAATACTGTAGGAGATGACCTAGGGCATGGCGGCACAAAACATGATGAGTTTCTTTTATTTGTTTAACAAATATTTCATGTTTCATTTTTTGCAATTTTGAAACAATTTGGGCTCCTACACAACTCAAATGAGTTCACAGGGACTCACCCAAGATACTCGGCTCAAACAAGGGCCAGGTCTTGAGTTCAAGAAGAGTGTCCCAAACACAGAAATTGACGATTTCCAATGTGTAAGAATAAATTTGAAAATTTCAGTTCGGCAAGAATCTAAAGAGTTTAAAAGGACAAATATAGGATCTAAAGGACTTATAAAGAATAACAGCATAGGTGATTTTGAACTGAAAAAGTATGATTTTCAAAGACCACTCCCAATAACAGACGGTAGAGAAGCATCCACCAGGGTGCAACCAATTTCCATCAGGGATTAATGTCGTAACCAGCATAAACATTTTATATTGAGGATTAATGTCGTAACGGGCATAAACACTTTATATTGAGGAATGATTATATGTATTTTCAATACATAATTTTAAAGTGATTTAGATCTTTACCATTGGATCAAGTCACAATCTCAAGACCACATCTCCCCTCTTACCCGTTAACCGCTTCAGCCAGATTTCTAACTATGCCCTTGCCCCTCCTTCCCACCAATAAAAAACACTGTACCCTCCTTTTCTCCAACCTTTTTCTCTCTTCCTCCCTCAGTCTTCCCTCCCAAACAGGTAAACCTGTCTCTCTAAAAGCTTCGCTCCTTTTCTCCTTCCTCCACCAACCTCTGCTGAAAAATGGTGGTGCTGAAAAATGGCGATCTTTGCCACTTCCTCCACCAAATTTGGCGGAGCTCCACCAACCTCTGCTGAAAAGTAGCGGTACTTAAAAAATGGCTGAGCTCCACCAACCTCTGCTTAGAAGTGCTGAAAAATGAGAGACTTTCCCATTAATCACTGCTCAAAATGGCCAACTGGCTCGCCTTTGTTGTCATGAAAAACCCTCTCCTACCATCTCCAAAAAAACGAGTTTTTAGAGGCAGCTTGGATAGACGTCTTGTCCAGGTTTAGTGCTGTTGTTTGATGTTGGATCCCTTTTTCACGCAGGAATTTGGTGGTTTTGAAGCCAATTGCATAGATTTGGTGGTCAACAGTAGGCATCCTCACCTCCATGAATGCCCCAACAGGGGCCTTCGTATCGACCTCATTGCACCATCCATGACCATCATCAACGGTAGGCATCCTCACCTTGGTCAACAGTAGGCATCCTCACCTCCATGAATGGCCCAATCCTCATCTTGGTCAACAGTAGGCATCCTCATCTTGGTCAACAGTAGGCATCCTCACCTACCGACCTCATTGCAGGCATCCTCACCTTGGTCAACAGTAGTCATCGTCACCTCCATGAATGGCCCAACAGGGGCCTTCGTACCAGGTAATGTTACACCTGTCATGACTCTCAACACATTTGATGCATCCACATCCATGCATACGTTGATCTCGGGTGAACCCTTTGGAGCAGGAGGAATTCCTGTAATCTTAAAGAAACCCAATAAATGGTTTTCTTCCACCACCTTCCCCTCTCCTTCATCGACAAGAATCAAAGCCTCTGTTTGGTTGTCATGTGCAGTTGTGAAGGCCATGTCTTTTCTCGCCAGTCTAGTGGCATTCCTATGTATGATGGGCATGAAATTGTCGCCATCGACCCGAATGCCAAGGCTCAAAGGAGTGGCTTGAATTGTTAACAAGTCTAAGTTACCCAATGGGTCACTGATCCCTGAGGCCACTGCCCCCTCTAAAGCAGCTCCACGAACTGCAGCCTCCAATGGGTCCATCCCCTCGTATGCATTCTCTCTCTCACACAAAGCCAAGACCAAGTTTCTCAGTTTAGGAATATTAGAACACCCCCCAACAAGTATCACATCACTAACCCCATCGGCTTCAACTTTGGCATCATGCAAGCACTGCATCACTAGACTCTCACACTTCTCAAACACCTTATCGTTCACTTTTTCAAATTCTTCACGGCCCAATACTTTGCTAATCTTCATCCATTGCCCAAGTGAACATCAATGGAGGCATTGGTTTTTGTAGAGAGAGTATGAATTGCATCTTGAGTGGCAATTCTAAGTACCGCCATTGCCTTTATCTCATTCAAGCCATGAATAGCATAAAGCTTATCCATGTCTGGGACCAGATGGTGCATGACATTCTGGAGAATATCCTCACCACCAATGGCTGCACCTGAAAGAGCCTTAATCTGAGAAACCCCGCCTGCTGTAGCAGTTACAGCCACATCACAATACCCTGCACCTATATTGAAAATAAGGGCAACTTTTTCAGTCCCACTTCCCATGTTACAATGCAAAACCTGTTGTTGCTGTTGTGCATATAAAAGTGCTGCAGCCGTTGGTTCTGGCATCAGCCTGACAACATGCAACCCTGCCATAGCACAAGCACGCTCGAGATGTGTATGCTGAAACTGGCTAAACGATACAGGGGTCGTTAATACCACGTTTCTAACTGGCCTCTTAAGCTGGACTTCAGCCATAACCCTAAGCTCCACCTGAAAGATAGCAAGCACCTCTTCGGGGCTAGTGGATCTCCATACATTATTTACCAAGCCTGCTATGGGGGGACTGGGCCCCGATATCTAGGGTTTGGACCAAAAAGCGAAGAGATTTACTTGAGTGAACAACTGGGTCAGTGTCAATTCTTCCAACTAAGCGTTTCATGTTGAATATTGATCGGCCTGAAAGGATTTCAAGCCCAGGATAAGCCTGCTCCTCGCTTAAACCAGCAGAGGGGACATCATCTTGAAGAGGACATATGAACACATAAGCTTTTGGTTTCGGGTGTTCTTGAGGAGTTCAATATTTGAACCATTCCATATGGCACGCTGCATTGGTAGGTCCCAACATCAAGGCCAATGGCAGCATCAAGGACGGATGGCAGCTGCTGCTTGTCCTCCCCACTTGTTTCACTGTCAGAGACCACAGTGTATTCTGTTTCAGCCATTACTGCATAGAAACAAAGAGGTTTTAGTATAAAAATTAGTTGAGCTTGTTGCGTGGTTTTTAACTAGTAAGAGTTCAAAGAGAAATAAAGGAAAAATGAATAACTATCATGATACTGTTGAAAGCAATAAAGCAGGCGAAACAATCCGAGGAAAAAGACAAGGGAAACCTTATATAGATTCTAAAAAAGGTGCAACCAAATAGATATTCCAAAAACCATGCCGAATCTGGACCGGAAAGTTTATATTTTATATTTTTTTTCTCTGCCAAGTTTGTCACTTCGATTCCCAGACATGTCGAATGACATGAAGATAGGAGTTTTAGCCCTTCTGTCAAAGTCACTGAGGTTTTTCTTTTACCTTTTCACCTCAGGCCCTCTTCAGATTGCACTTGAAGTGCGAAACTGAAGTTTGGGTAAAACCCTGATCGCACATTGGTGCCCAACGCTAAAAGGAAGAATGGTAGCATATAATTGTACAATTCTTGGTCCCATTTACTTCAAAAGAAAGGGGGAGGGTTGGGAAATAAATCACAAGTGACCATAGGAAGGGCAGAAATTTGGACATGGCAGTTGAAGTACTGAACCTAGAAGACAAAGCAGTAAAAGAAAGATAGATTGACTCATACACGCCGTTGCCTAGTGTCAGGCTTCTGGATCACTCAATTTCGCCAGGTGGGTTCTCCACAGGCATTGGTGTGAAAATTTCCAAAACAAAATTTAACAGAATGCATTTGACACAGGAAAACATTCAAAATCAGTAAAACCTTGGTCGAAAACTCCTCATTTGGATACAAGAGTATCAATTTCACCAGTAAAGAAATGGTTAGGAGTCAAGTAGGATCAACATGTACTAGAGGATTTCGTATTGTACAAGATGGGCCCAAGTCATTCATGAATTATATTTGCAACAATACAACAAATAAAGAATTTGAACCATATATGCTTAAAGCAACACAGTATAGCTTATGTTGTGAACATGGCTACTATCATCATAAAATCACTAGATTTCTGATATGTCCCTGGGAAGTAAGTTGATAAACACAGTAGATTATAACTTAGTTCACAAATAGCAAATCAAAGTGCTAGCAAAAGCATGGATTAAATATTCAATATCGCTGTGAGCATCCAATGCAATAATTTCAAATATTGATTCACCAGAACTAAAGATTGTGTCTACTAAATAAATCAGATTCATCAACTAACAAAAAACCACGAGCTTTATTTTGAAGGAACTCAAAGCAAGATATATTATGGTTCCACATGTATAAACTCTCTGCGCCAGTGAAGTGAGATACAAGGGCACAAGGCATGAACTTGATATATAGAAGCCATTTGTCTTCTCCACCTACCTTCCATCCCACTTAAACTACATATACTTAGCTGTACTCCTTAACGTCAATTTCATCTAGAGAGTCACCATCGTCATAGCCTTTTCCAACTGTTCGGGTTCGGTTATAAATATGGAGAGTATGGGCCTAAAATAACTGACCTCATTCAGCACAACAAGAAGAACTCCTAAAACTTAAAAAGGGTGTGGTTTGCATAAGGTTGCAAATGTTATCATAATTTTGGCGTAAAAAATTCATAAGATGGCCTGAGAATTCATTTTCATCTCTTTAGACTTCAAAAATGGTTCAAATCAAGGAGATTTATAAACATATGAAAATACTGAAAATGGATGGTCTAGATAATGTGTTGCAAGATGCACTGTTTTTGGACTCAAAATCATTTTTTTGTCATATTCACACACCTCTGAACATTAGAGGGTTTTCCAAGTTCAAAACAGTTTTCTTAATGATGGATTTTTTAGAGAACAGGGTTAGTTCAGATATTGCTAAAACTATTCATGCTCTGAAACCCGATCGTCTTCCAAAACCAAGAGGCCCACCAATAACGAATCGTTCATGTAATGGTACATCAACAAAATCAAACAACTTAAAATTCCAACCAGCTAAAATTAATAAATGTGATCATAATCCTGACTTTATCTCTCAGAATAGGACATAGTGAAACCATATAAGTAATTTCTCAGGCCCCATTTGGACATCCTGATTTCAGAGTTAATGATAAAAACTCCATTTTTTGGAATAATTCAATGTAATAAGGTACACAAAGTTTTCTTATCCTTCATTGAAGCAGCAAAAGCACCTATAGAAGACCCCAATGAAACGCAATCCTCTCTCTCTCTCTCCTTCTCTAACCCAAATGGTAATCACGGGAAACCATGACTGAGCTTTGCTTCTCACCATCAAAACCAGAATTAAACGTGGCAGAAGCACAATTTGACAAAAACGAATTCATTCAATTCATAAAACCATTGATTTACAAAACATGAATCAAACATGAAACCATTTTGTTACTAAACATGAATCAATAACCCATTTTCTTACTAAACAGAATCAAACATGAAGCCATTGATTTTCAAAAGCTAGCACAGAAAGAAATCATACTTAAAACGCTAGCAAAAATAGAAAAAGTAAGAGAGAGAGAGAGAAAATACAAAAGACTTACAAGATTTCAAAGCGACCAAAAAGAGTGGGAAAAATCACTAGTCCGGAGGAGCCGTACAAGGGGGGACAATGAGCACAAACAAAAACGTAGTGTGAAAGGAAGATGGGCAATGGAAAAAATAGAGTGTGAGAGGAAGACGAAGAGGCAGAGGAAGGTCCAGAGGCATATCAAGGGTTAAAGACAGAAAAGAAAAGGGTAAAAAGAAGAGAGAGAAAGAGAAGGGGCAGGCAGTTCGAGAACGGTCGGAACTGGTAGGTCCGAAGGTAAGATTGGATCGTGGTGATCTTATATTTCCACACGTATGTTGTTATGTGGGCCCCAGTCAGGAGAAGAAACCTCCTGTGGAGTTGCGGACTACACTGCACACCGCACGATCCCATTTCTCAATGATGAATTTTCTATAGCGTGTAGGCTTATCTTAAATCCCCATCTGGAAAGTGCTTTTGGCATCGGAAATTCATGATGGCTCTAAAAAATAATTTTCAATACCAATAATAAAATTTGAAAATTTTAAAAATAATACAGCTCTTATGGATTTGTCAACACTTGTTTTATACATTATTTATCTTAAATTTTTTTGTACAACCATAATACTCAAGCTTTAAAAGTTTTTCAACGCTTAAAAATGCAATTTTTGGATGATGAGTTATGAGGTGATTGATAGGGCTGCAGCTCTATCAAACAATTTATCTTAGGAAACTCCCCGCAAATACTGAACTCTTTCTTTTTATAAAATATTATTTGCTTTTTATGAATGTGCAGTAACGGCATTTTCCACAAATATATCATATATTAAGAGAGAGACTTATTTTTAGTGGATATATTAAAAGAGAATTATTCTTAAAACATAATCGGCCCAGTATAAGTTTGTGTAATTGGCATTTGTAATGTACTTGGTGAATGGATAAGTATTACATCCATAAAAGGACATGCAGGAAATTGGTTGGTGAAATGGTGCAAAAATTAATGAGTTAAAAGATGTTAAAAGTATTCTCTAATTTTTTAAATTTTTAAAAACACCTTAATTTACACCCATAGCATTTTTTTTCGAGATTTTTTTAAGGAAAAAGTTTAAATAAAGTCGAGGCTTTAAACAATCAAATTAAGAGCCCACCTCAAAAATTCACTAGTGGCATGTTTGGTTTACGTGAAATTGTTTTCTAGAAATCATTTTCACATAAAAAAATTTTCTCATGTGGTAAAGTGTGAGAATATTTTTATTACATGAGAAAATTTTTATTATCAATTGATCTTAATGCATATTTTCATACTAATTGGCAACTAATTCATGTACAAATATTCTCACAATTAATCACATGAAAGAATGAAATTATTTTCTAGAAAACAATTTCATGTGAACCAAACATGCCCTAGAAGATATTTTGATTCCCAAATATCCTCAAATTGATCATCGCGACATCAATATACATGGATATGAGCAAAAAATGGATTTCAAGTTTTAGAAATAGTGCATTTTGTAACGCATCTTTTGACCGTCAATTTTCAAAATTTTCAAATTTTCATAAATTTGCTCGATCTATACTATTTTAAAACTTTAAATTTTATAATTTAAGATAAAAATACACTTTAAGGCTATCACAAAGATTTCCAATATTAAAACTGCATTTCTCGACAATAATTGAAAGTGCACTTTACTTTAAAGGTTTAAAGCAGTGTTTAAAAAAACGCCGAGTCGAACCGGACTCGCTCGGTTTGACTCGGGAATCGCTATGGGGGGATCGAATCGGTTAAAAACACGGGAATCGTCCGGTTCTAGAGAGAACCGGACGATTCTGCACAGTGACTCGCCGATTCACTGTACGGAATCGACGAGTCCGTGAAGAACACGGGTTGCACAGTGTTCTTCACGGGATTCTTCGAAATTTGTCATTTTTTGGTTATTTTTCTTGTTTTTTTTGGCATGTGATCTAATTTGCAGGCTGTAAACAGCTTTATTCAGCTTTTACACGGATTACATGGTTGAAAATTTTGGTGTTTTTGGATCACGAAACTTGCATTTTTAGGGTTTTCGCCTTTCCTTGTGTTTCATGCCAAATAGGGCATGAATCTTTCAAAATTTGTAGGCATTTTGATCGTAAAGTTGCGCATCGAAAACCTTTTGTTACTAATTCGTGATAATCGTTGAGAAAAACAGAGGTTTTTGGAGATTGAAGGCTTCGGTTCACAAATCAAGTAAGAAGTTTGGGTTTTTTTTTTTTTCCGCCATATGATTTATTTCACGATATATTTTGAAGATAATGAGTTCAATTTGTAGGGTTTTTAATCTTTTATTGTGTCTATTATGATTTAAAATTTTCAATTTTATGTAATTTGGTCAATTACAGCATGAAATTTGAGATGAACACAGAGATGTTTGCGGAACCAAAGTTCCGCTGTTTTTTCTTTTTTTTTTCCTCCTTTTGATTTTTTTTTCATGACATATTAGAAATAATGTGCTAAAAATTTAGGGTTTTGATTCCTTATATTATTGTTTATCAGAAAATATACTCAATTGGATGTAATTAATTCACTTAGAGGTGGATTTTTGAGTTAAAATGGCTTATGTAAAATGGCTATGTGAAGAACGGAACTTTTTTTTTTTCTTTGTAATCCATGATCGAATGTTTTGTAATACTTGATCGATTTTTTTGTAATCCATGATCGAATTGTTTTTTTTTTTTTGTAGTCCATGATTG